GTCAACTTATTTATATAAATGTTAAATAATACGAGTATATTTTAAATTTAAATGATATTTTAATTTGTAGTAATATCATGTCACTGATGAGATTTTGTTTTGACAAATATTGTCAAGATATACATATATAAAAATAAAAACACCAATCTATAAAAGAAATAAAAATAATTTTGATATATATATATATATATATCTTACATCTAATTTAAATATTTAATAATTTAAATTACCTTTATTTCTTATTAAATTACCTTATTAAATAAAGTCGTTAAAGATTATTTAAACTTTAAAAAGCGTATTTATATACCTAACTTACCAATTTCATAAATTATTTTTTACATAGTAATTTCAAAAACAAAATCTTGTATAGAAAATGAGTACACTTTCGAGAATTTATCTTTTGTCGATTGTATTATGAATTTTGACTCACTCTGTGTACAATACAGTTGAAAGTTGTAACATGTTCTCTTACATAAGGATTTGACCACAAAAATTTGATCATAACATACATAATACATATATAAGATACATTTAAATTGTAACAATAAAATTAAAGTTTGTAGAAATGCGTAAATATGCCATGTCATTTTTTTAATTTATGTAAATTTGTTCCATGTATAATGTGACCTCACCGGCCACAGTAACAGAAAGATGCTAATTTAATTATACTACCGTATACTATAGGTATACGTAATCGTTAAACTTGACTTGGTCTCTTTCCTTAGCGATTAGCTGTTTTTGTAATAGCTTGAAAGATCATTGACCAATCATTGATCAAATATTGATAAATCTATTTTCTATTAAAATATTAGCTTGGCAACAATGTTACAGGCGAATCGTATAGCAATATATGTATACAAATTAAACACGAATATGCAAATTAAGAAATTAATGACTTTAAAATTGCTTATATGAAAATATTTCTTGTTAAGATATTTCCTTCTTCTTCCTCTTTTTTAATAAAAAAATCTTTAATCAGAAAAGTATTTTATTAAAATATGTATAAACATTTCTCATCTTATTTTAAACATTATTATTCATAACTAATTAATTACATTGGTCGACATGCTAAAAATTTTAATTCTGAAAAGGGAGAATGGTTTGCCGTAGATTTTTGGACGCTGAAAACAATACTGCCTTCAGAATTTGTTTATTATGTAATTACGTTACATTTTTTAGAAAAATGAGGTTGAAATCCTTAAAAAACGTTTTTTGCCAATATTTAAAAAATCGTAGCGGACGAACCTGATGTGCTATAAAGTTCTAAAAGATCTTAAATGAAAGCTTAAACTTGTATTCGAGCCAGTCGAGCTAAGTATCTCCAATATTACGAAACTATTTATCTGCGTCGTGCAACAACGTCAACAACGTATATTTGTAATGCTATGCGCGCGTGTGCCCACTTAGCTGTCACTGCACGCTGGGGCAGAGGTCGGGAAATTTAACAGCAGAAAAAATTGTATTTTATTCAGTAAATCTACCGTTATAATGGCTTTGAACTTTTGAGAGAGCAAATTATAATAAAGTAATAAAACTAATGTTGTTATAATAAATAATTATTTATTTTGCACGCGCGCGCAACACTATAAACACATGCTTGCTAGCTGTACGGCGCAGGTAAATAGTACATACTTAATTTGTAATATTGAAAATACTTACGTTCGAATTCAATGTTTAATCTTTCATAGAAGTTTTTTTCACGTCAGACTCGTCCGCTACGATTTTTTTAAATCGTATTTTTTAAGAATTTTAACTTCATTTTTCTCGAAAACATATATAAAAAAATTCTGAAGATAACATCATTTTCAGCGTCCAAAAATATATGGAAAACTATATTCTCCTTTTTCAGGAGACTTTTTTTAGCATGTCGACCAGTGTTAATATTGCATATATTAATCATCCTACACTTATTCATTTAAAAATTATGTTTCATTAATAAAATTGCAACGAATAAAAACATCAAATTTTCGTCTAAAAAATAAGAAAATCACGAAAAACACGTACGTCTCGCATAGAGAAATTTAGCCTAAAAATTTTATATCATTGTATACGCCTTGTTAATCACAACACCGTTTAAAAATGCGTTCAGCGGTGAGTAATACTAATATATACTTTTATAACAATTTTTGCATCTTCTGATAAGTTCTTTCCACGCAGAAGAATATTGTAATACTCTTGATAAAAATTGTTTTTGTGTTAAAAAGCGGTCTAGAAAGTAAATTTATAATTTTATAATTTTACAATTTAAAATTTTTTAATTTAGAACTGTAATTATATACGTTTAATTATTATATTAATTACTTCGTGTATCTTACATAAAATTAATTTTATAAAATTACGTAGAAATTTTCTACTTAGAAATATAGATTTTGTGAGAAAGCTATTATATTTCATTTGTAAAAAAGATTTTAAGAAACTTTAAAACTTTAAGATGACTAGAATTTCATTGCGACTAGATAGAATTTAAATAATTATTATTGAAAAAACATTTTATCATTTAATACTCAGTGATTTTAATTTTTTTTTTCATTAGTCTCTCCTGCATAAAACATACTCTTTATTATATAATACATGTTTTTAAAAATACATCAAGATTGCTGTAAATGCGAGAGAAGAAGAAAAGGTGGTTAGATTGGAAGAAGTACAGCAAAGAACCAAGAACCAAAGGGAACGTGAAGCTGAGGCCCGCGTTCAAATGTTAAGGAACGAGCATCTAAAGCGCGAGATCGAGCTCGGTATTCTAAATACAAAGCGTAATCGGACATTATGGCGAGAGATAATGATGAGGATTAAAATGCCGCAGATCGCCGAAGACGTGGAAATTGCGTGGCACAATTTTGACCGAGCTCTCGATATCAAGGACTACAGGTACGTTAAATCGGCAATTGACAAACTAGTTTTTTTAGTGTATTCAGAAAGTTTCATCGCAACTAAATAAGATTTGAAAGAATATTTCATTCTTGAACAGATTTTTTAATATAGATTAGTTCATTGTGTTTATTGTACTTGTTTTATAATATTTTTTAAAACTTTATATAATTTATTTCTATTATTTTTGGAAGCAAAAATAAATGAAAAATATAAATAGATTAATAAAGCTTTTGAAAAAAAGATTTTAATATAATTCCTTGATGAGAACTTAAATATTTTTCTGTAGAATAGTAAGGATAAATTTACATATATTTTAAATATTTTTATGATTTTTATTATCCTTATCCTCTAGAATAAGCTTTTTAATGGACGAACTGACCGAGGCCGAAGAACAGTATCAAAAAAATACACGATCACATATTGAAATTATAGATCGATTATTAAAATCATACAGAGAGAAAATAAAGCGCGAAGAAAAAAGTTATCAAAAGACTTTAAACGAGACACTTGTTCAGACGAATGCGGAAGTTAACAAAATTTATTATCAGCAAAACGAAGTTGAAATCTCGTTACAATCAATCATTCACGGCATTCAGCAACAGTTGGACGAATTATCGAACAATGTTAAAAGCATCGCATTAAGTATATCACTGTTACTTTTACATAATTTTATTACAGAATTATTAGAGAATTTCGCTTGCTATCAATTCTATATATAATATATAAATATATATACATTTATATTTATTTTATTTGATATTAAAATGGACTATGAATGTAGATTCTTTGGTTCATATTCAAAACGCGTTTTTATCTCTAAAATTCTATAATACGTGTAAATTAGCGTATTAGAACTCTAATGCTGGACATAGGACGCGACAACGCTTGCCGCGCGGCGGAAGTTGGCGTTGTAGCCATTCAATTTATCGATTTTTTGTCGTGAGAAGAATAATCGAGTGTGATTGGTCAATTTTCTTAAATCTTAAGTTTTATTGTAGATACCGTTTAACCTCGTTGTTAGTGCGTTTTGAATACGAACCTTTTTATTTACGTCCACCTTCGTTAACTAAATTACTTATTGTTAATAATATGAATTTTAGTATAAATTAAGATTTATATTCCAAATAATTTGATATATATATATATATATATATTATATTACTACTATAGTATTTTTAAATTATATTTATTACAAAACTTTTAATAATAGTATATGTATATTTAGTCACAGAATCTTGATAATTATAGATAGGCATATATTATTATTAAAAGCTGTGTATTCACATATCTATTTTCACTCAGCATTGTTTATATTTATTAATTGGTAAAAAAGTACGTATATAGAAAAATAAAAAGGACCATAGGATCATTTAGAAATACTCAGACTCAAAATAATTATGAGAAAAGCAAAATATTCGTGAGATAGTACGCTAAAAGCTAGGACGAAGGATCCCGGGTTAGAATTTCATTGTCAGTCGATTTTTTATCAGTAATTTAGATTATTCAAGATGGTGCCAATGATTAACAATTACGATTATATTATTATTGTTATATTAAATCTAAAAAAAATCGCTTATTAATAAAAATATGTAATCCATCATATTTTAAACTTATTTTGTTTCTCAAACATATTAACACTTAATATTTTTTCACAGATAAATTTTTCCAGCGCAAACAATATAAAATGCAATAACTATTTTTATTTTTTAGTCATTAACAATTCATATAATTGTTTAAAACGTACAAAACTCAAACAATAGAGAAAAGCAAGATACAAAAAAAAGAAAGTCCTCTAGGCTGCTTTTTGTAGGAAACGCTTTAAAAATTAATGAACTGATGGTATAGAAAATTTAATACAAGAAAACTCAAATGTTTAACGAGCCAGAAGTTCCGATCAAACTAAAATTTGGCAAGATTTTTTGTATTTTATGTGCTGCCGAACTTATTGGTCCAGCGGTCTTATGTCATGCTTATGCTCTGTTATGCATTTCACATGCTCCTGATCTTACACGTTATATAAAATTGTGAAAATAACCGTTAGTCTTATTATTTATCAAATTTGGTTACTAAAATTATTTCTCAATAACAATACATTACTCATTGTCAGTAACGAAATAGCACCCATCATTAATTAATATTTATTATTAATATTTACCTCCTAATCCAAGATGAAATGTTATCGCACTAAGAGACAAGGGAAAATTCGAGATATTGACACCAAGCCGAATCCATAAAATCAACAATAGTAGAACTGGTGCCAAACATAAACCTGTGAATAAATTTGATACAAATGCCGGAGGTCTACGTTCAGGTTCACGGAACATATGCTGAAATTTGAAAAATAACAAGAGTAAATTTTCAGAAAAACCTTTCAGCAACAACTTCCATTTTTTACAATACTAAATTATCAGACTCTTCAACATAGAATAATAATGGGTGACAATAAAGGCACTAAGAGTCAATACGCAGAAGTCGTTGCGTTAAAGATTCAAGTAGAGATGTATTCTATAACCTAAATTACATCTTCTTACATAAGTCGTACGTTTCGGTCCACTTCAGACCTTCTTCAGCGATTAATACATAGAGTTCTACCAGATTCCCCATATTCCGTTTGTAATTGTCAGAAGTATGTTCCGCAATGTATGAGATGGGCCTTCAGTTCCAAGATTGAATGCAAGATTCATCTGTGAGAATGATCTTATTGAGAATTGCACTTGAAAAAACTTTGTGTGAACTATTCCGGAGCCCTATACTCACCATTACGAAACAAGTCAAAATCGTTGTAAAAAACGGTTGACATTTTTCCGTTTGACTTTGCTTGGTGACTTGACTTGTTTTGGTGAAATGTAATTGACGTCACGTATTTGTTAAAAACACGAAATGTAATGACGTCACGAATTTGTTAAAAACACGAAATGTAATAATGTCACGAATTTGTTAAAAACACGAACACTCTTAAGGTGATCGCGACTGTGACAACACGCGACTCTCTGCGCATTTTTTTTTTTTTTTTGTAAGGATTGTGAGTGCCAATTTTTTTACAACGATTTTGACTTGTTTCGTAATGGTGAGTATAGGGCTCCGGAATAGTTCACACAAAGTTTTTTCAAGTGCAATTCTCAATAAGATCATTCTCACAGATGAATCTTGCATTCAATTTTGGAACTGAAGGCCCATCTCATGCATTGCGGAACATACTTCTGACAATTACAAACGGAATATGGGGAATCTGGTAGAACTCTATGTATTAATCGCTGAAGAAGGTCTGAAGTGGACCGAAACGTACGACTTATGTAAGAAGATGTAATTTAGGTTATAGAATACATCTCTACTTGAATCTTTAACGCAACGACTTCTGCGTATTGACTCTTAGTGCCTTTATTGTCACCCATTATTATTCCATTTTTTAAACAGACGTCGATGTTTGTCAAAATAAGTCAAAATTATTGCGCAAATGCTACTTTGCGAATATATTTTATTAACTTTGACATAATTCTTTACCAATGTTATGGAAATGACAAAATTATTGAAAAATTTCTGCCATTAACGAGCATTGGCATACATCAAATATCATGTGTACATACATACATATATCGAAAAAAAATTACCTTTATTTCCGGTTTGGTTGTATACACATTCGGTTTTTGCTTATAAGAGATGTTTTTATCAGCACTTTCTGTTGAAGTCGGCTCAGGAAATTTCAGAGTTATCGTGCCAATGTTAAAACGGAACGGATTACTTATCACAGCATCACCAACAATTAACTCCATGTTATATTCTCCGCTTTGGTGACCGAAATTTGCAGCTGCTGTCCCGACCGGCTAAATATTTGCAAAATTATGACGTGTCAGAAGAATATACAACTTCTGTTATACAAAAATCCAGTTTTCGCATAGAGAAATATATACGCTTGAAATGTATAGCATAAAGTTACCATATCAAATTTATAAACGTGAGCGGCATCGGGCTCAGCGACGAAAAAGATTTCATGACCTCGCTTATTATTGATAGATGTGGAAATGGATATAAGACGCACAAAGGCTTGATGTACGCGCATCGGTTTCTTATTGGCGGAGTCACGTAACAAAAATCGCATGACTAGTTTTTGCTGAGAATCAGCTTCTATTTTATGTTCGAGCTTGCCTGAGGGAGATTCTGTATTTATTCTGGAAATTAAATAAGTTAATAAACTTAAACATTGTTAACAAAAATAAAATTTAACATATAAAATATTACGAATTATGTAAATTACCTCGTAAGTTTTGGTTGAGTAGTCTGATCAGCATCACCAGTACCGATCTCTAAGTAATCCAATATTGCTTCAGATAAAACCTTCACTGTAACTGTATTCGTGACTGAAGCCGCGGTTACTAATATTTTGTAAAAACCGCGATCAGGTTTCACATTCATAAGGTTCATTGTGAACAGAGTCCTGCATACAAACGCAGTATGTAATCTCATATTAAAATATTGTATGTTATATAGTAAAATTCAAAATTCGTCAAAACTTCTAATCAAGCAAAATTAATCAAAATTAATTCTGAATTCTAACAAAATCCTTTCATTAATACTAATTCATATATTTTAATTAGTGAAACCTAGAATGTAGTACACAGTACATTGTATATTTAAATCTTACTAACTGTAAGTGGTTAATGCGATTTAAACAGTAGTATTAACGAAAGACTTTGTTAGAAATACTTTTGAATAATTAGATCGAGTTTTGACCAACAAATATAATAAAAAATTGCAAAAATATTGTGTGTTGAATTTCTTAACCTTAATTATATTAAAAAAAAAAGGTTAAAGGAATTATTCAACAATTATTGCTATGCCCCAAGGTATAGCTGATATCAGCATGGTAAAGCTGATCCAGTAAAGAAATTGGGGAATTATATTTAATAGATAACACTTACTTATCTGTTGTAGATGGTTGCAAATTTTCATTGCTGAGAATAACGACATCATCTCCCACTCGTGTAGCAGAATTTGCAACGACTTTGGGTATGATTGGCAATGCTTGACCAAGAATATCGCAAATTTTAACCGTAACTAACGGTTGTTTATTAGATATAATAAGTCCTCCATCGGCTAGAGTTATGCAAACTGGCTTTTCAGAACTATCAACCGCCAAAGTAGTTAAAGCAGACAGCAAATTTGTAACACCTTTTGTCGTTTGTACAGAACGTCGCGAGAAAAGATAATTACTCAATTTGACAGTCTGTTGAAAGTTCAATGGTGGCTTTTTCTTTAACGAAGTTGATAATTTAAGAATACCATTAACAAGGAAACCTATATAAAAATTATTTTAAAATTAATTATAATAAAATGACCAATTAATTTAGAACTATACAAGCAATAGAGATTAAATGTATACTTGTTATAGAAAGACCGCCTTCAAACTGTAAATATTGGCCATCCACTTCGTCTGCTTGTACTACAGCATCTTCGATACGATCAAAAGCAAATGCAGCTGGCGTACCTATGTCTGCAGCAATGTGGAATACGTATCCCAAACTAATAACAAAAAGTTAATTTATACTGTTCATAATAAAAATAATAGTAGTCTATAATATTATTTAAATGTTCTTTCAGTAATGATTATTGTCTTCATATTTCATATCTAGAAGAACGAAAGTTTCATAGACATCATTATAATTATGTAATTTTTACTAATTGCTAATATCATTTTATATATAACATTTAATAACTTACTTCCATAAACTATCATCTTTCCTTAAAGTTGCTTGAATTAATTTTACTAACTTATCAATTCTGGCAGAAGGTACCTTTTGTGACAAAGCTGTCAAACCACTCACTGCATAATACAGATCAGAGAGTGTAGAAGTATCCTTTTGTATAACATTTGTCAATACCTATAAGAATAAAATATTGCTCTATATATACATATATACATATAATAAATGAATAGTTCATATATATTTATTCAGAAATAATTATTATCTTCATCTTCTTGCAGTAGAACGAAAGTTGTTATTATAGACATCATTACGCTACATAAGTATTACAGACATGATGTAATTTTGATTATTAATGCTAAAATACATCACCTTTGTCACGATACTAGTAGAAAATTCTTGGCAGCCTCCAATAGCTTTCCATGTGGAAGTAAGATAAAATGCCGTTTCAGGTGTGATGTTTTCCCCATTAGATTTTATTAAGTATTTGCAAATAGCCTATAATTATAAATGCTATTAATATAAAAATTCAAAATATTATATGTTATAACAAAGAAAATTTTGAATCAGAAAGACTAATCAAATAATCATGGAATTTCAATATAGCTTTTTTCATCATAAAATATAACTTATACATGCTTTATCTTTAAAAATAATAGTTATATGTGATAAAAAAAAAGAAAATTACATCTGCTTTTGATATAGCTTCTCCAAGGAGCTTGTATCCACTAACAGCATAGTATACTGATGGTACATCGTCTAACTGAAATCCTAATTGAAGGATGCTCTTCAAACGCACTCTATCAGCCGTAGACAAATAAGAATTTGTTGACTGCGTAACTTCTGAGAACGCACAATGTGAACATAATGCCACCAGTACCAACGGTAGCACAGCAGCTAAAAAAATAGATACTTTTATGTGTTTTTAGAAACAAAATAAACGTTTAAGATTCCTGTTCACTCACTACTATTGATTGTGACGTCAGAAGCGAGAAAATGCACAATAAAAATTCCTGCAAAATACATTCGGATGGAAACGTTTTTCACTGGAACGACAATTTGCAATCAATCGAATAGACTTATAAAATATAAAGTATACTGAAAACTATATCTTTTTATTTGGGGGAGAGAAATTACATTATATTTATTTGTATATTTATTAATGGTTGTCACAGTTGTAAACATAGATTTTCATTATTTTTAGCAACCATCTCATTATTTGGTCATTTGTAATATAATGGGATAATTTATTTC